ATGGTACCCTTGACATAAGTCAAACATGTTGAAAAACTGTGTACCTTTACTGCTTCCAAGCAGTCGTCTATCCTTGCATAGGATAATTTGGAACGTTTGTTAATTTATTAACAGCACGATAATCACAAACCAATCGATATTGTTTACCTGGTTTTCAACCAATAAGGCTGGACTTCCACCATCTTCTTCTGAAGGTTGTACGATTTTGGCAGCAATTAGTTTATTTACCAATTCAGTAAATGCTTTTCGTTTTTCAACGGAACAAGGGTAAGGTTTCTGATAGGGAACAGAGTTATTACCCATATCAATTTTAATGTTACACACTTCGTGTGGAACTAAACCTAAATCATGACGATGTTTACTAAACACGTCTTTATAACGAAGCAGTAACTCCGTTAAACTTTGTTTCTGGTCAGAAGTTAATTTTGGGTTTATCCTTGATTTGATTTTTTCTTCAAAATCATCAGGTTCAGCAATGACCATTAACTTTTCAGCAACTTTGGGTTTATCGTCACCAACCTTGATCGTGAACGAACCAATTTTTTCCAATTCTTTATCATGATAAAGATTTTCAGGAGCTTTTACCATTTTGAAGATTCTCGTTGATCTATCTTCAACTGGAATATTAGAATTTAAGTTCTCTTTTTCAATTTTCTTTTCTTCAAGAAAAGTTTTCTTCTTTTTAGGAGAAGAAGGGCGACAATCCATGATTCGATTACTTTCATCGATAGTGCAAACACGAACATCAAATTCAGCACTAAATGATTGTCCATCAGGTGTATCTTTCACAGATACATTATAAGATTCTCCATCTGAATCCATATTCGTATAAAACGAATGTAAAAAGGGACAACCAAAAATAATTTTGGTCTCAAAATTTTCCACGACTTGAACCTTTAAGATTCGGACATCTTCAATTTTCGGGTGTTTAACCAAAAGGAAACAATAACCAATTGACCGAATAATTGAACCAGGGACAATACCTGCCAAAGGTTTATTGTCTTCGATTACATCAGCTCCAAGAGATTTTGCCAAATCAAAATCTATTACCGACAATGAGGCGCCAGTGTCTGCAAGGACCATTCCTCGTTTTACCAAAGTTTTGTCTGATTTTCGTAATCGTACCTTAATTAAAGGCATTTCTTCAATCATATCATCATCAAGTCTAGTCAGGACTTCTTCTTTCTTGTCACGAAAGAAATGATAAAGTATTTTTGCTTCAGTAGCAATTTTTACCGGTGCTTCATCGGGTGAAGGCTTAACAGTGGTTGTTGGTCTTGAAGACCTTGGCTTATCACACTCATTCGCGTAATGACCTTTATTACCACACTTAACACAAGTAACGTCTTTTCTATCTCTTCTCTTTGGATAGATTTTGTTTTCAGATGATTCATCAGAAGACTTTTGAAGTTTAGTCTTCATTTTCATCTTTTCTTTGCATCCTTTTCTTTTGTTGCAAGACTTTCATAATAATAGGTGAGCAAAAGTTCATTTACGTCTTCTAAGCTTTTGTTAGCTCTTTGATGAAAAACCTTTTGTTTTATATTGTCTGGTAAATGATTCAAGACAAAAATCAAAAAGTTTCTTTAGAAACATTACCTTGGCTTTTATAAACCAATTCACGCATTTTAGATATGAAATCTTCAGGGGACATTCAAACTTATATTGATAAGACATCAGCTTATGAAGAGCATTGGATCTTGAAGGGTCCTTGAACCTTTTCAGAGCCATCAGATACTCTCGATAGTCTTGGATGTTTTTATCCACCATTTCAGAAATGTGTAGAATTTGATGAGCAAATCCTCTTTTTAGACAACGAAGTCTAATCTCATCATCTACGGGTTCCAAATCCAAAAGCCTTTCTGCTTGAGTTACCCACTCATGAGGATCATCTCCTTTCTTAAAGACAGGAATCGATGGATCTTGTAGCAGAATTCGTAAAGGTTGGTTACCTAAAGTATTAGGTAAAACCATGTTTGAGCTTACGCTCGGGGCGACAACAGGGGAACAAGAACGTGTTTCCCTTTGAGGGACAGTAACTGTTTCAACAACAGTACTCACCTCTGGCCTTTCATCTTCATGAGATTCAGGCTGGTCATCTTCATCACTTGCTTTCATTTCCTGGAGTAATTGAATGAGCAACTTCTTGGTACCTTGTCCTAAAGACAAACCTTGAATATCGGCTGCTTCTAACGCCATGAAAGCATCGAGGGTCCTTCCAGACTCTCTTAAAATAGAATGAATCTCATTTTCTGAGAGTTTCAATTCTCTTAATTTGGTTAACCAGAAGGGTGGGACTTTGTCCACCACTTCCTAACAAATTTCGTCCATATCATCTTCCGATATTTCAATGGAATCCAAATATAAATTATTCCTTACGGCCTCTCTGAATTTCTTATCGACGAAAGTTGAAACAGGAACAACGACTTTCCAAAAGCCTAAACAAAGTTCCGCAGATGCTATGGAAATTTCAGCAATGGGTTTATTTCTTTCACCAATTGGAAGATGATCCAATTCATTTGGTATCTCTGAAAGATTAACGGTTTTCTTCCGTCTAACAACTCTAGCTTTTCCTCGCGGCATCATAAACAAAGCACTTTCACGCCAAATATAAGAAGAGATAAATAATTTATCGATTCACAATATACGAAAGTATAGTTAGAGTTAATCACACCAAGAACACTAGGCAAATCCTGCCTGGGTCGCCAAATATGAAGGAATTTCTATAAGAACGGGTCTTATATTTAAAATATAAAAAAAAGGAGCTCTATCCCGAGACTTTCGAAAGAGAGACTCTGAACAGTAATACAACGGAAGGTTGAAACCGAAAGAGAAGAAGCTATCACCTTCACTTGATATTAAAATTCGATCTAGGATTTGACTCGTGTTAGATGTAACTAATTAACTGGTTAAATGGACTTAAAGATGAAAGTCTTTCGACTTAACTGAGTTAACAAAGAGATTACAATTGTTCATCAAGAATGAAACTGAATTTTTATTGTAATGAAAAGAGAACTTTAAAACATAGATGTTAATCTAATGAAAGTAAAAAGTTAACTAATCTTAAAGATTAAAGATTAATGATAATGGTAACTGTGGTTACCATGGTAACTGAACACAATGGTTCTTATCAAAAGAAAGATTAAATATTGACCATAAGATCATCTTGAAGATGTATCAAAGGTTTACAAAAGTAGCTTTTAGAAGCATAGATAAAATGATTAATTAAATCAAATAAAGATAAATGAAAAAGGTTTACATAATTTTAAAGATTGAAAATCAAATGAAATTAATGAAAGTTAATTATTAAAAAAGAATAGATTGAAAATCTATTCGGGAGATATTCTTAAAGAATAGGCAGAGAAAAGCTGAGGGAGTCAGAATTTCTACCCTACACAATTAATTACATGACAAGTTAATGAATAGTTTACCATGAGAGTTAAAATGAATACATGGGATTCATTCAACTAGGGGAAAGTTTTTTTCTTCAAATTTTTAAGAAAAAAAATGTTAATTCATTGATTCGGTTTATGACTGATTATCTAAATTATTTTTTATTCATTTGCTTTATCTGGACTAAAATTGAATGTGAATTAAGATTCAAGGTTTGGAATCATCACCCTGAAGGGTTAATAATATTAATGGTATCCAAAAGGAAGCTATTTTTATTTTCTGTGTCAATTGGTTGACAGAAAAATTTTTTTTAAAGTTACATGAAAATATTGTATAATCAGAATTCATTTGAAACTGAAATAAATTTTTATTGTTTACTCGTCATTAACACTATTACCTGTTGTTATATAATTGTGACAATTTAAAACTGATTGCTGCACAAAAGACCTGAAAATGAATTCAGCTGAGACCTTTGATAGTAATTTATTATTTCATCGCTTTTTTGCAATTCTAGAGCAAAGGAAAACTTTCATTATCATGAAGAGAGAGAGAGAGAGAGAGAGAGAGAGAGAGAGAGAAATATCCTTACCTTCAGGGACTTTGTATCCACAAAATTATCTTATCAACTGAATATTGTCTCTAATTCATCTTATATTTTCAACAGGTTACACAAGAAAAACAGATAATTCATATTCTGAGTGTATGAATATTGAGCTTAACTAAATGAATAAAATTCATACTCTATTTATAGAGACTGAATACCCTGCTACTATTACTATGCATGCGAATACATTAGACATTATGATTGTGGAAATTTTTCTATTCTGTATAAAGATGAAAAATATTACAAGATAGAGTCGAAAGGTAAATAATTTCTTTCCAATGAATTCTAATCATTACATGAGTGAATGTCGATAAGATTAATGAGTAAGCTCTCAAATGCTCTAGTGACTGGAGAAAACATTTCTCTCAAAAATGAGAACTAAACTGAGATTTTTTAACATTCTCTTATTATTATTCTTTTTTCCATATTTATATTTGTAAACATAAGAAGATGAAAATACAATGTTCAAGATACGAAAAAGAAACAAGCTCGAATATAAAAAATTCGAACAAAAAGAAAAAGAAAATACAAAATTATCTAAGTATTTCCATCTATTATGATATAAAATCTCTGGTAAATAATGTTTACTAAGACAAAGATTTTGGTTCAGCCTTTTCCCCCCAAAATGCTGAGATGTGAGCTTCATGGTTATCAACAGTTCTGCTGAATTTACATGAACCAATAAATTGTAACTTGTTGGTGCTTTTTATATTTCTTCATTTCTCTGCTGCACAAAAATGTTGCTATTGGAACTTAAATTCATAACATTTTAGGTGAAAATAAGTATGAAAATGAATTTCAATTGTTACTTGGAACTTTTCAGAAACAGAATTTCGATTCATATCGATTTCCTATCAATATCTTTCAATATCTATTCTTAGCTACTAAAGTTAAACTTGGAAAATGTTGAGATATTCATAACAATTTGATTCCAAAGAGTGACATGAAATTCAGAATCCAATTTAAAGGTTATCATGAAACACGAATGAATAAATCTACTTACCATATGATCAGGTCGATCTTGGATTAAATTTAATTCCTTTGGAACAATTAACTTTGTTGGAACTATTTAAATTGGAAGAAAAGCGATTAATAGAATAACAAATCAATAAGAGTCATCAAATTTTCTCAATTGAATCAATCACCTAATCGCCCAATTGAATTTCTCAATCACAATGTTCCTTGAGATTAACATGATGATTGACAGTTTGAAATTATTTCTTTCTCATTCACTTTTATCAATCCAATTGAATTTTATCCTGATTTTTTTTTCTTGAAACAATTTCCCTCAGTTCCTATTTCATTTTCACATATCAAGTATCATGGCAACTAAATAATTGATCAAACATCATGTTATTTTTCATTGTGTATTCTCCCCTTTAGCAGGGTAAAAAGCTCATGTTGATTGATATTATTATCATGATTCAGTAATAATAATATTTTCATTGGAAAACATGATGAACATCGAGTAAGAATGTCATCAATTGAGAAAAAGTAAAGAAAAGTTCTGACAAGTTTATTGAAATTATTTTCTCATGAAATTATTGACACTTTCATACATGATATTGTTTTTTTTTGCCAGAACAATTTTTCAATGTCGAACAAAAAAGTTCTGAATTCAGTGTTTCATTCAATTTAATCTGTCAACTTGAACTGATACAATATCTTTTTCCTCAATTTCTCTTGGTGATTTTTATCGTTCTTTTGTTCATGGTGAATGTTGATTAACATGAAAATCTTAACGGTTTATAATTAATAATGACAAGAAATAAATATTCAGATTTCTAGAGAAATTCAGAATTAAGTGGAAAAAGATAATCAATTGAGTTGAATTGATAAACTCTTATGAAAGAACATCAACTGAGTCGATGATCATGAAAGTCTAGATGAAAATTTCATGGAAAAACTTCAAAGTCTATGAATATAAATTCATGCTCAGATTATTAATTTCGTTCTGGTCCCAACTGATTATCGATTCTGTTGTTGTTAATATCATAAATCAACAAGTTTTTTGGCTAAAAATTAACTAATCACTTTGAGATAAATGGAAAAAAAATCTCATGCAATTAATCAAATTGATTAACTCAACAATTAACTATTCCAATCACCCATGAAAAGGGTATCACTAGGATATTCTCACCCTGAAGTTACGAGTTGAGAAAAGAAAATGAAAATATTTTCATTGGATGAATCTGATTGTTTGCTTGGAGAAGAATAGAAAATTTCCTATTCCATGTTATTTAAATTACTCAGCTAATTATCGGAGCATTTCTGTTATTTAATATTTTCGCTCAGACCAACTTGATTCATAATCATGATGATAATAAAATATATCAATAGTTTCCCAGGTAACATGAAACAAAATTATTATTTTGATAAATATCAAATTTCATCCATTGTGCTCATCATGTTCATGTTTTTACCTTTATAATAGTTTAACAATAACCGATGATAACATGATGATGATAAATGATGAGGAATAATTTTTGTCTTTTCCTCCAAGTATAAACCTCGTTCTTACCTGTGGAAATATATTTGGAATTAGAGAGCAAGAGAGAGAGAAAGAGAGATATTCATTATCGAATCATAATTCTACACTGGATAGAATCATCTTTTCATTTTCTACAGAATTGAAATATTTCTTCAATTTCGCAATGTGAAACTTTTCTCAAATTCTCTCAGAGTATTTTGATATTATTCTGTACAAAAAAAAGCAAAGGAAAAGAAGAGGTAGAAAATATTTTACCAAAATTCTGATAAAATTCTCCATTCTTATCAAGGAAAATATTCTCGATGTTATTTTCATTAAGTTAATGGGATTTAAATGAAATTCGAGACTCATGGTAAATCATGGATTTTTATGTATAACGAAGATTCTGATGATGATGATACACTGAATTTTCACCAGCAAGAGAATCTTTTCAGATCATTTGATTGTTTCTTTTTCTCATTATATTTTTTGTTCCATCTTCATGGTTGATTCTGATTCTCATTTTTAGAATTGAAAGATTGATAAGTTACGAAAAATTTTGGATCAAATTGATTTGGAAAAATTTTCATGTATGAATTTCAGAATGATATCAATTTGTAGATATATAAATCACATTTTGTTTCATGTTACCAATTTGAATTAAATTCAATTGATAGAATAAACTTTTTTCCTTCTTCTCTTCAACATTTTAATCTAATAAATTAATCACTTTTTTTCCAATCCAATGGGCCAACCATTAAATCAGATTAATAATCATTAAAATCCATGATATTACAATGATAAAGATTACCTTTAATACCTGTAATCCATAATAGATTAATATCTTAACCAAGGTAACCAGAAAGAGATAATTTTAATATCTACAATTCTACCAATGCTAAAGAAAATGTTACAAGTTGAAGTTAATTAAATCGAAAATGATACAATTTGATTATCATAATAATAACTAGAGACAGAATTGAAATGAAGTGATAATTTGCTTCTGAATGTATTAACCTTTGATGAAATTGTGTAAATATTGTAACATTTGACTGAGAAAATGATGTGATAATAATATCATCCTTTCAATGGGAAGATCATGTATCATTTATATATCATTGTTATGATAATTTCAATCAATTAAATCGTTGAAATTGAATTTGGAAAAAAACGAGAACGAAAATCAATCGAAACTGATTAACATAAGTCTCGATTATTCTGATTGTAATAATTAAGTGTCAATTATAAGTAAATAATATGGTCACATTATGTTGTATGTTGGTGGACAATTGGGTCAGTTTATATTGTTTCGAAAATTAAAAAGTCGATCTGAACATTTTACTACTTTCGAGCAGTGATAATTATTAGCATTCTCATTCTAATATGTAATTTGTATTGAGAAAAATGTTACGTTCTCATTGATTGATCAATTGTAAAGATTTTGAGGTTCGAATCTAATATTTTTCTCTGATTTAACATTTACAATGGTAAATGAATGTTACCTTTTGTAATCGTTCATTGAAATATCCACCTTTTTGTATAGATATATGAGTGAACATTTGATTCAGTTTCTTATGAATCCTCATGAGATTATACAGATTATACTGGATAACGGTTCATTAGGAGCCAATTTATTTTGACAATTTTATCTTTTACTTTTACTATTTTTTTTTTCTTCTTCATCTTCTTGATGACAAAAAAAAACAAGGATGACAACATAAGATAATGTTGCAGATTGAACAAAAATCAATAGAAACTCAGTAAAAGATGAAGATATAATCACATTGATGATGGTAAAATAATCAGTTGAAATGATGATGAACCAGAAAAGTGTTTAAATGATAAAATGTAATATTTATCCTCAGGGAGTCAATGAAAAGTCCAGGGAAAAATAGGAATCAATTCAATCTAATATAAAATTCAATGAGAATTAAATTAAGATACTTTGATCAATATTGAATTAATCAATTTAATCTCGCTACTACAGTTACTGTACTAATTGTATTAGTACAGTTAATTAATACAATCAATTTGGTATATGTACCAAATATAATCAATTGAACAATATCTTTAAACCTAAATCAAAGTGATCCAATTTTAACTGAAAAACTAAATTGTCACATTGATTAAGTTACTTTTGATTTTATCATTTTCTTGACATTCAATTTGATTATGTTTCATTTAAATTAAACAATCAAATGATGATTAATTTTTAGGATCAACAATTACAATTACATTTATGTTAGCGATGATACAATCGTAATCTAATTGTTGATTGTAAATATTATACAAGAGTTTAATCAATTACATTTAATCAATAGATTAGAAAACAAGAAATGATTTAGATGATCAAGTTTTTGGTTAGATTATTAATCTGAATGTATTATTAAGATTATCTTGTAAATGATCAACTAATTGTACGATATGAAAATATCAGATTCAAGGGTTTTAATTATCTTGAAAATGTAGCATTATGATAATACATGATTACCATTATGTTTATGGATTATTATTGGCAGTTAATTATCATATTTGAAGTTGTTGTTGGTTAATAAGATGATAATAAATCAACAGAAGACAAATAATCAAACTAATAATCATGGTGATATGATGATGATGATAATCTGTTGATCGGTATATTAAAATGAGAAAACAAATAACAGATAAAATGATGAACATGATGATTGTTATCATGGTTGCAATGTTAATCTTTTCTCATGATGGAAACATGAAAGTCACACAGAATTGGGGTGAGAGAGAGAGAGAGATGAGTTATAATGATGTAGAAAATGAAAATAATTCTGATATATGTAAATATGAATCAATTCTTATAGATGGAAACTTCATCTTCATCTTCATCTTTTTCTTTTTTTCTCCAAGTTGAGCTAATGAAAAGAGAAAAGGTAAATTGTTCCAATTCTAATTAGCTGATTTTCTGGAGAAGAAGAATAAGAAAAGGTTAAATGGGAAGAGAAAGTAGAACATTTCTGCTTTAAGAGTGGAAGAAATTCTTTAAGAAGCTCAAATGGATGCGGAGAATAGAGTGAGTGAGTGAGAGAGAGAGAGAGAGATAGGGTTAAAGTACCAAAGAAAAAAATATTCGAAAAGAAAAGGTAAATGTTGAAGATGACAGAAAATGCGACAATCATGAGAGAAAATAAGGAAAAGAAACCTTGTCACAATTTACTATTCTTTTTACCTGATAAAGAGCATTTCATAGGTTTCATATTCATATTGTTTTCTTTGTTCAGAATAGAAGTGAAAAAATTATTCGAAAAGAAATTATTTTTTTCTCTTCCTACATTATCATTTACTCTCTTACACTATTGAGCCTCTTATAATACCTTTTATCATGAATTCAATTCTCTCTCTCTCTCTCTCTCAACTTTTTCTCTTCTTCTTATTTCTCATTGAAACTCCCTCACTTTTTCCTTCACTTATAATACATTTAAATTTATTTCTTATTGAAATCAATTCATTGCACCGATAAATTCCCATGTTACATGTTAAACTATCCAAAAGAAATCTGATAACCTCTGGAAGGAAAAAAACTATAATTAGCTTGAAAGAATCGCCATTAACTTGACTTTTCTTT